TGCGCGGACGGAGGAGTATGAAATTTTCCACACTTATAGAGAATATAGAGAAGGATTGCAGAATGCTAATTTTTTTTTACATTATGCAGTAATAATAATAATAATAAAACAATAAAATCAATAAAAAAAACATTACATACACTACCTATCTATTTGGCACATTCTTTGTTTATTGTCAAACTTTTGTTATTGCTTAAAGTCTGTGGTCAAATTGAGAATTGGTTAACTTTAATATTATTTTTTGTATATCTTTTAATATCTAATAATTTTATTATATTTTATGTATTATCTTTATATTATCTTTTAATAACTTCAATGTTTATCTTTAATATTACTCGTATTTGCCTATACTGTGGTCTTGACGAAATCTGTCAATAAAGAAGTATAATAATAGTCTTTGACAATAGAACCTTAATAATGTTCAAACTTATAATTTCAATTAATTATATTCGAATTTCGACTACTGCGCGACCACCAGTATAGATTAAATAAATAACATTAAATTAACTTTTCTATGAACATACGCTAGGCATACGCCAATGCAAGTAAAGATCATCAACAAACAGGATACAAAAAGCATTTGTGGTGATTTCAGAAAACCAGAAAACGTTTTTGTACGTGCCCAGATTCCTAATCGCGGCCCTTAGAATGAGTGACATGCCCATCCTCTATCGTTACCGATACACGCGCACGACTTTATAATAATATTACAAGGATATCATCCGAAGACTTAAAGCAACTTAACCCTTTGAGCACGAACCGTTTTTTTTAAACCTAAAATAATGGTCTAGAGGGTCCATCTCAGCTTCACCGGTCTATTAGGTGAGCTCATGGGGCTCAAACCTGACGATGTTGCTAACACGAACCATAGCAAGGGCCGTGCTCCGCAGAATCTACCAGCGGATCGGAAACGCGACCAACTGAGAAGATTTGGCGAGAAACTCAGTGGGCTGTGTCTGTGGCTTAATTTACTCGCCGAGCCCTTCGTCGCAAGCGACGGGTTCAACGAGGACGATAACCGATGCTTGAGGTACCTAAAAGCACCGTTAGTGGATTGGAAGGATCCGAAATGACGTGCTTAGGGCGACGATAGCCATTCCAGTAGCCTTATTATAACAATGACCGGTCCTTGGGGTACCTAAAAGCACCATTAAAACGAACCGTCGATAGATCGACTCTGTATAAAGTGCGGAGCGTAGGAATACCGATTATTGCGCAGTTTGATTATAGGTATTAAGCATAGACCTGTACGGACGTGTCTTAGCGCGTAAAGACATAACGCTTTAATAAGTTAACAACATTTATAAATTACCATTTAATATTGTTTTGCTGTGGATTTAGCATCGATTTTTGTATTTTTTGTAACGTTTTTTTTTTTTTTTTTCAAAAATCCTTTAGCAATATCTGCACAAATATATGAAAATAAACTCAGCAGTAAAAGGGTTAAGATTCGCTCGGCGCCACCGCTACGGTTTGACGCAATAGACTGGCGCCAATAAGTGAATCTTGGATTCATGCATCCTGTGCGCAATACTCATGTGTCTCATAGCTAATAACGCGGCCCGCCTTCGTAATTTATAAATGAAACATCCTAAAGAACGCAGTCTCCTTATTTTATAATTAAAATATATATTTATTAACTCTCCATTCTTTTTGTTGAGCTTTTCCAAGTTGATGTTACGTGAGTTTTTCCGCGTCTAACGAGACAACGTACTGCCTTATATTACATTTGTGTAAATGGTTCTGTTCCATATCTAAGTCTTATTGAGTCGTCCTAAGCACGATAGTCAAATTACTATCTGTTCTTCTGATCCTGCAATGCGATTTAACCTCTTCTTTTTTTCTCCACCTTATCCCACTAGGTAGGGTCGGCACAGCTAATTTTTCTCTTCCATTCTCTTCTATCAGCCGTCATCTCAACACTCCTCTCACTCTCTCTCATATCGTCATTCACACACTCCATCCATGTCTTCTTCGGTCGACCTCTTCCTTCCTACCCTGCACTACCATTTTCACACATCTCCTAATCACATGCATCTTCTCTCTACGCATCACATGTCCATACCACGCTAACCGTCCGCTCTTTAATTTGTTGATTACCGGGGCTACTTTCACTTCCTCTGATATACAATGCGATTTAACCAAACCCTGATATTGATAAATAGTCCATTAAATCTACTACAGCTGAGCAAAACTCTAAAACACTTCAACAAGTCTCTTTTCGAAGAAATTAACCTTACTAGATTTAATCGTAATTCGTTTACATATCATCTATCAGATTCATTGGAAACTGTATAATTATCTTTTATTCAAGAAACGCATTACTGCTTCACGGCAGAAATAGGCAAGATGGTGGTACCCGTGCGGACTCATTCCGACTACCAGTAATTACGCAAATTATAATTTTGCGGGTTTGATTTTTATTACACGATCTTATTCCTTCACCGTGAAAGTCAATCGTGAACATTTTTAAGTACGTATTTCATTAGAAAAATTGGTACCCACCTGCGGGATTCGAACACCATTGCATCGCTAGATACGAATGCACCGGACGTCTTGTCCGTTAAGCCATGACGACTTCAAACTGGTACCATAAACATACTACAGATAGCGCTAGAGTGGTTTTAATAAACAAACCGTGTCCGATTTTCACTGGCAGTATACAAAAACAGGTAATCTACCAAGTCATTTAACATTTAGAAGTGCACACGTACCAAAAACGTGCATTAGCCTTACCGTAACTAGGTCGGATCGTGAGGTGCATAGAAATATCGGTATTAACATGACTCCGCCTTCATACGACACGCCCTAGTTCAAGTTTGAAGGTACAGACAGACCGAACTCAAAAGGGCATCCGATAATTACGTGAGAATCCAACGTCTGGCTAATTTTGGCCTAAGATACCCTCTTCCCATGGGTATAGTAAAGGGCCTTAATGGGACTGACCGAAAAATGGCCAGTTGCATTCTCTGAGCATTATACTATTATATTATAATTATTATATTATACCTACCTGGTCAAACTGGCTGGTAGGGGTTGGATGCGAAAGGCAAAAGACCGAAGAGAATGGGGTGCATTCGAAAAGACCTACACTCAGCATTGGGTGGACACGGATTGAAGACAACATACTATTATAGGACTACGTAATTTATATTGGGAGTCCATATGGGTAGGTTCAATTTGAATAGGCAGTCATTGGGGTTATAGGGCTGGGCAGACTTCGCCCTGACTTCAAAAGGTAAATTGAACCCTATAGCCGCTGAATATCAAGCGAAACGTCGACCAATAGAGAAATAAGGGTATTGCGGTAGGCAGCGGCTTGGCTCTGCCCCTGACATTGCTGTCCATGAGAGACGGTAACCACTTACCATCAGGTGGGCCGTATCCGTCTGCCTGCTCGGGCAATAACAAAAAAGAGGAAAAACACCGCTGTCAGTTAATCATGAACTTTTGATAATGTTCAATCTAGAGATGGCGTACTGAGTGAGGTTGTGTGGGTTGCGTGCTGACATGTTGCACTTGATAGATCATCAAATCTTTCCTCACAGAATTTCAAGGTTCCATATATGAGGATTGTATTACGTTGCACGACAACGTGGGTTCAGTCCGTATCTACCTACTCTAAGATCTTCCTTGATTGCACTCATGTGTATCATAGAATTGAAGTGGTTTAACTAAGAAGTTTGAATAAAATGAGTTTTATACTTTATACGATTTATAAACGTGTATTCTATCAGTTTATAAAATATATAGCCTATTTTAGTCCAGAAAAAGACACTTACTCATCATCTTATCAAACGCATACCTTAAATCGAAAAACCAAAAAATTACAATATGCAATAACATTTTTGGAGTTTACCAAAAAATAAGAATTTTGGATTAAGCCACTTTAATTCTAAAGGTGCTATATACAACACTTAAAAAATACCACTGTCGTCAATTAGCGATGTTGCCACATGTAAATAATTGATTGTACCAATTGTAATCAGAGTCTTGCGTCAGAAAGTGAGAAATTTTGTTTCAGGAACATAATTTAAGTAATGCTTTAATTGCAGTAATAAGGCAGACAGATTTACGGTCTACCTGTTGTTAGGTGGTTACCGGAGCCAATAAATATGAAGTCGCCACTCGCCCACTCAAAACAAATGAATTCTTCGTTGCAAAAATAAAATGATTAACCTGTTTAAGTAATCTGGTTTGCACAATAATCGAAATTCCGACATAATTAATGAAACCTGAAGTTTTAGTAGCATCGCATTACCCTTTGTTTTTAGTATCGACATTTGAAAGAATACTATTTTCAAAGAAAAAAATATTGGCAACATTAGTTACTACTCAAAAATAAAGACTTTTTGGCGGGAGCGCGAGGAGTGAAGTTGTGTGATTTGTTTTATTTTGTCTATTTAGTGTTTCTTCAGGTTTAAATGTGTAATAACGGTGGTTTATTATCTTTTTAATATCTGTGAAAGTGCACAAATGTGGGAAAATGAAACAAAGCCTCTGGACGTAACTTCTCGGGATCCTCCAAAAAGTCCACTGAAAAAATCTCAGTAAATGACCACCATTTTACTAAGATTGTTTCATGCCATATCATGTCATTTCATCCCAATAGATTAATATCTCAAATTAATCATCTTCATTTCATTTCGTTTCACTCCATATTATCATTTTTCATAAAAATAAGAATATAAATTAAAAATAAGACATGACTTAAAGGTCTCAGCAACCAGGTCATAAAACAATTTAAAAAAAAAAACTCGAAATAAAACGAGCTACCAATCTGAAGAAAAACTGCTACTATATTATATTGTCTTTGCCTATATTTGGAAGTTTTAAAAAAAAATCTCAATAAGATCACAGAATGATGTGATGTCACTTATCCCTGTGTATTAAATTTACTAATAAATACACTCTATTATTTTGAATCTATATACGTACGTAGATGCTATTTCCGCAGATTTTAATCAGTAATTTATAGCACAATTTTTATTTCGTTTCAGAGATCGAGCCCCCGTTCCCGTGTCGAGATGTCACGATCAAAAGAAACACGGATGTGAACGAGAACTATGAGATGCTCTCGGAAATCGGACGGTAAGACAACTGACCACTAGTCAACTATCTACTCTGTAGTTGCCTTAATATTTAAAACTATATCGACGGATCAAAGGCAACTAACAACTAGTCAACTATATAACTAACCAGTATCTACTCTGTAGTTGCCTTAATATTTAACTATATCGAGAGATGAAAGGCTAAAATTTAAGCGAAATTTTTGCAACTTTACACCAGAGCCATTTAAAATTTGGAAAAGATACTAAAAAAAATATCTTCTTCAGCTGTATCTGAATGGAGTAAACTTAATTGAAGTTCAATTAAAAATATCGAACTGTTGATACCTGTATTACAATTATGAATTTACTGGTCGTAGGACCTCTGGTGAGTCCGCGCGGATGGGTACCACCACCCTGCCTATTTCTGCCGTGAAGCAGTAATACGTTTCGGTTTGAAGGGCGGGACAGCCGTTGTAACTATACTTGAGACCTTAGAACTTATATCTCAAGGTGGGTGGCGCATTTACGTTGTGGACGTCTATGGGCTCCAGTAACCACTTAACACCAGGTGGGATGTGAGCTCGTCCATTCATCTAAGCTATAAAAAAAAAATGTCGCGTATTAGGCGAAATATCGCCTTCTAAACCAAATGGCCTTTTACCCCTCGATATATAAAATATTCATGTAATTTCAATTGATTTTCACCGAGAACTCTTTAAATGTGTATAAACAACACCTCAAAGGGACACTTGTATTGTTTAAAACACGCTTGTAACGGAATTTTAGGACGTAATATTTCACTAACTTCAATACCGACCCACTTAATTTAATTTGCATGCTTAATAAGCGCGCGAACTCACGACAGTCCAATAGTTTTATTATTGCCCTAATACCATGGTCAGAATGACGAGAACTAAAATTTGTTTTTTTTTTTCTAAATTCTTAATTCGGTTCGCTTAATGTTTTTTTTAGTTTTTAACTATCACTAGAGGATGACCGAGCTTTACTCGTTTTTTTTTTTTGATTGTTTTTTTAGAAATTATATTTAAATAAGAATTACATATTGATTTATATTATTTGTTATTTCCTTTAAATAAAAAAAAAGTAAGTTTATGCTTAAGTTGATTAACGATAAAGTAGATTATTGAAAACACGAATAAAACAACATTTACTGGAAATAAATCGTAGCTAGGTCGATTTATCGCCACCGAAATACCCTGTATACAAAATTTTAAGAAAATCATTGGAGCCGTTCTTGAGATTCAGATTATATATATAATTATATACAAGAATTGCTCGTTTCAATATATAAGATTTGGATGAGTCTGGTTTGTACAAGCGTTAAATTTGCATACCTTACTAAATCTATATATATGTGATATCTAAACTTCTGATTAATTCATATAATTTAATTTTTATTATTTATTCAGATTAAATCTAAGTTCATCGTTCGTTGATTAAATAAAAGATAAGTTAGAACTTAAAATGCTTTAAAAGTCTAGTATAAAATTCGATTTATAGAATCATCTCCCAAAATTAAAATGTCACATATTGTTTAATATTCCATTTCAGTGGTATCATTAGTAACATTAGCATAGTTGTGTCCGTCGCTGGTATTGTAGTCTTGTAGAAAATCAAGCTATAAATACGTGTAACCTTCAATTGTATTATAGGAATTAGAGTCCTCAAGACTCCTTAAAAGTTTTTTTTTTCTCCAACCTATGCTGATAGCCTTGAGAGGCTATTTCAGCTTCACCCTAACGTGTAGGTGAGCTCACGTTCAAACCGGAGTTGTGCTAACACTGACCCTAGCAAGAGCAGTGCTTCGCAGAATCTATCACCGGATCGGAAACGCGACCCACTGAGAAGATCCGGCGAGAAACTCACTGGGCTGTGTTTGTGGGTTAATTCGCTTGTCTAGCCCTTCGTCGCAAGCGACGGGTTCGACGGAGGACGGTGACCGGTGCTTGTAGTCCCTAAAAGCACCGTTAATGGAACAGGAGGATCCGTAATGACGTGCTCCTTAATAGATCATTCGTTCCTGGCTTAGCCCGGGCTCACCTACTTGACCTGGTGAAATTGGAAAGACCTCCGGGCCACCAGTAATCCAAAAAAAATTGTTACAGAGGCAAATTCGGAACAGTATACTTGTGCAGAGAAAAGAGCACGGGTCTGGAACTGGCCGCCAAGCTCGTCCTAGTGAACAGGAGGGACGAGAGACGCAACGTGGAACGGGAGGTGGACGTGATGAGGAGACTCCGGCACCCTCGACTGATCCAACTGTACGACGCTTACGACTGGGGGAAATATATGTGCGTCGTTCTTGAACTGTAAGTACTAAATATTTTTTTGTAAAATGTATATATAAAAGATGGGAACGTGACGTGACGTAAACCTAGCACGAGGATATTCGGAGTAAACAAACAAAGGAATTACTCACGAACTTTCCAAATTAAGGGAAAAAAACTTTGATGTATATTTTGAGACAAAACCGCCGCCATTACTTAGGCCACGCCATCGCGCTACCTAAAGCTAAGACGCCATGTTACAATTTCGAAAACTATAATAACGTGATTCATTAATCGCGGTAATGAGAAAGTGAGTCTTTTTTTTTAAGTGCTAGATGGGTGGACGAGCTCACAGCCCACCTGGTGTTAAGTGGTTACTGGAGCCCATAGACATCCACAACGTAAATGCGCCACCCACCTTGAGATACAAGTTCTAAGGTCTCAAGTATAGTAACAACGGCTGCCCCGCCCCTTCAAACCGAAACGCATTACTGCTTCACGGCAGAAATAGGCAGGGCGGTGGTACCTACCCGCGCGGACTCACAATAGGTCCTGCCACCAGTAAAAATACTGTGATATGTTCATTTTTAATGTTTCCCTAGTACCCGACTGTGTTGCCAATTTGTGTATTTTTCAAGCTACCAACGGAGGCGGTGAAAGTTTAGCTCCGCTGTACTTACTATACGGACAATCGCATCGATTTCGTTAGTTGTCTTTTATATGGCATAATGATCTGGAAAGTGTATACAAAAAATCGATTAGGATATCATTTAAATTATGTTTATGATAAAAAAATATATAAAATAAATACATTTTATTTTTTATTATTAATTTAATGTGATTCGATTGACGAGAGAAGTCATCAAGCCAAACACGACCTTCAGAAATGAAGATGCCGACTGAAAAGTAAAATTATTAATTTCTCAGCATTCATGAATGTTGCCAGGCTAAAAAAATAATATCTCAATACGGAAACGTTTGGAAATATCTCTAAAAAAAAAAGTCTAGATAAAAATACTGCCTTTGCCCAACGAATGGTCAAACTTATTTTATTCCCGAAGTACACCATTTTGATGAAATTAATTGCACTTCAACGTTTTATTTTTACATACGTATACGTTTTGCATCCGATGTCTCATCGTAACGAAATAAATAGAAGATCTATTTTGAAAAAAAAAATTGGACCAAATGAAACAGATTAAATACAATTTCTTTTCGGCTCCCGCCCGGCCTTTCTCTAGATCACAAATATAGATTGAACAAGGAAACGTGTGCAAATATCATACGAAGTTGGAACGCATGAATTACGTGACCGTGGCTAATTTGTTTGTTTGAAACAGATTATTTAAGATAAGGGATACGTTATTTATCTTAAGAACGCATGCCAATTACGGCGGCCCCGTTGGACATGAAGCTCACAATTAAAATATGAGCGTTTGAATTTATTAAAGTAATTGGCATTGTTACAGATTTACCAATGAATGTGTTATTTATTTACCATTAAATATGTCAAATCTACGTTAAGGTGGGCTTGTTTTCGTTCAATTAAATCCAAAGACAAGTTTTTTTTTTGAGAAAATTATTTACGTCTTAAAATTAAAATAATACGTGAAGCAAAAACATTGTATACCTTTTTACGAAAATTGCGCGGACGGAGGAGTATGAAATTTTCCACACTTATAGAGAATATAGAGAAGAAGTGCACAATGGTAATATTTTTTTAAAATAATGCATAAAAGATACATTAAATCAATAAAGAAAACATTACACACACTACATACCCTGTATTTGACGCACACACGCATGCATACTATTTATTGTCAAACTTTTGTTCTTGACGTTTGTTGTCAAATTGAGATTAAATATTGTTTGTCTTTGTTAATATTTTATATAGTGTAGTCTTGGCGAAATTTGTGATTATAGAAGTATAAAATACAATCATAATAGTGTACAAACTTACAATTTCAATTAATTATAGTCGAATTTCGACTACTGCGGGACCTCTAGTAAAATTAAAATAACGAAAATCCAAAATTAAGATAGATGCTTCAGTTTTATTATTTTCGACATTTAAATAAATAGTTATTTTAATTCACATGTACCATTTCTAAACTTCTTTTTGTATTCAAAGTATACAAAAAAATATATAAAGATTAAAAACTATACCTTAAAAGTGTGACCAATACAAAAAAATACGATCCAAAAAAAAAAACAAAAAGTAAAAAAAGCCCGCATTCGCATCAACAGTAAGCATCGAGGCAATTAATTAACCAACCTTAAAAGTCTGACTTCAGTCCTTTTAAAATGAACACGTATCGTACAACTTTATAATGTAAACAAACAAGTAAATTCCTCAGTTGAGTCATCGGATTTAAAAGCGATTTATTATTGTGTAAGACTTATAAAAGCATGTGTCTTCGTTCATTACAATAACGCAAAAACCGTGTCAGTAACGTACCAAAATTAGACAACATGCTAAAATAAGTTTATTGGCCCTTACGTTATTAATGATTACAATCTAAATGATGTAAAATTTAGTGAGATCGACAATGATATTTTATATGTAAAAAGAAGCAGATATGTTTCAAGCGCACGTCAAGTGAAGACTCGAAAACAGGCCAATTGGGACGTTTCGTCTTTAGTCGCGTCTAAACAAATGCAATAATAATATAACAAGTGCAATCGTTCCAATTATAGCTATCTTTTTTACTCACGCGCTTATCACATCTTTTGTACTTTTCATTAATGCTACTTGTCAACATATGTGTGCACTATATCGGTAGGTATGTAGATATATATGGCGCGATCAGATTTGAAGATTTTGAAGAGTCAGTTACTATCTGTTGTATAAAAAATCATTGGAGATTGATACAAAACAAAAACTAATGGGCTGCCAACGTGTCACATTCCCTAATTTTTTTTTCGAAATTTACTACTGTCGACCTTTGTCGGTTTGGCCATAAACAACATTTGAAAATGAAATAAATTCAAAATACGTATTCACGACTCCGTAGCGGTCCGACCGCGTTGTAGTTGAGTCATCGATACGCGAATTCTGTTTTATGTCTCAGTTCTGCGCTTGACTCGGTCGCATGTGGGTTAAGGACAGTATGTAAAATGTGTTGCCGGAATGTTGTGCTCTTTTGCAACTATCGATCATTTTAGTGAAAGATCGATAAGAAGAACGCGACCTCGTTAATCACATCGTTTTGTCATTTTATATTTTAAATAATTTTGTCGTGTTGTCATATTTTGTTGCCAAGCGCGTGTACTCTTAAAATATCTAAGTAATTACAACGTAATATCGCATTCGGCAGATATATATTTTAACATTCTAATCTTTTTATTATTATTATTGCTTAAATGGTTAGACGAGCTCACAGCCCACCTGGTGTTAAGTGGTTACTGGAGCCCATAGACATCTACGACGTTAATGCGCCCACCTTGAGATATAATCGTCGATCGTCCATGTCTGGTGTAGCGAGAAAGGCCCCTAACCACAAAAAGCATTTTATTTTATTTTTATTCATTTCGCTTACTTCATATTTGGATCTATATTACATTCATTAACATTTCATATAGTATATCAGAATCAGATAAAAAATTAAAACGCGAAGCTTATATTTAAGAATATAATAAACAAAAAGCTTAGACTGCTTAATTTTAAAACTCACCAATACAATACAGCTTATATTAACATTCAAGTTGATATAACTAAAATATTAGGATTTATTTTTTAAGAAAAACTCATTTTGAACAGTTTCGAGGTTTATTAATTCAATCCTAAAATAAAACGTACTGTAAACATTTTTTTTTATTTCACACAAACACCAATATTTATAAGACTGTATGTAAGTAGTTATGAGCGCTGAAAATGTTTTATTGACGATTTCTTTGAAACCGTTTTGCTATGAAAAATAATGGATAAATCATTGCGCACACTTGACCGATTTTATGCTCAAAGATATCTATACAAGTACACATTTATGTATTTCGTGTAAATCGGAGTGCTAGTTAACGAAAATACTGAATAAAGAACTTCGCGTTTGAATTTACAAAACGCGACATGCGAACTATCATCATCATCATCATCATCAACAGCCCACAGTCGTCCACTGCTGGGCATAGGCCTCTCCCAATCTACACCACTGAGCCCGGTCTGCGGCTCTCCTCATCCACTTCTTGCCGGCCACCGTGCGGACCTGGTCACCTGGTCATCGCACCATCTAGCCAGGGGGCGTCCCACGTTACGTCTTCCGCTGCGCGGTCTCCACTCGAGAGCCCGTCTGCTCCAGCGATCGTCAGTCCTACGGTATATATGACCAGCCCACGGCCTCTTCAGCTTGCAGGATATAATCCGGAATGAGATTATTCGAATGCGAACTATGACTGGATTCAAATCCTAAGGTCGTATGTCTTGAACAACTTCAACGCCTTCTACCTCAAATATCGTCATATTATCGTCATATTATCGTCATATATTTAATAAATGTATTAGTTAGCCGTATCGAATGCTTAGGAACGATAAGATGGTTCTAGAATTTCCTCACCGCAATTAAAATGTTCAACGCGATACCGAATCTGTCATCATTATTAATGAGACATTAAGTATATTTCCTTAATTTCATGTTACATTTAGGCGCAATTAGAGCAACCGCTGACAGACTTGACTTGTCGACAGATGTGAGCACGCCTTGACGCATTAATTACACGGAGATTTCACTTTTATTCCGTGACGTTAATTTGCATAATTATTCTGAACCTTGACGATTAGAAAAGGAACCAGTCGTATTTGTTCACAATGTAAATGTCCCACGGTATTCATTTACGAAAACCTAGAAAATTACCATGCTTACCAATAGAATGCAGATAATTGAAAATTCCGTGTAGTTAAAAAAAAAACAACCTAATAATGATAAATACCTTCGGTTCTGGATAGCGGCAAGATTTAGAACTCAATCAACAAATTAATTACAGAGACTAATAAATATATCCTCGATATTATCTATTATACAAATTATTCGTTTGAGAAATAAATAGTA